GTTAGCCAGAGCCTGCAACACACGCACGTACAGGTAAACGCTCAGTTGCGTCCTTTTGTTAGACAGCGCTCCCGTAGAAAAGAGGTACCCCCCCTTTTCAAGGCGGTAATCCATTCCCAACGCTTTATATATGTTTCTAGTCCTTCTTTGCTGCAATCTACCAGTGACATTGTCTGCTACTTGGATTCCATAAAGCCCAGAGCAACCCACAGCTATACGGAAAATAAGCAGTTACAAACACTCCTCAGGCTTTAGGTCTCATCTTGCATTTTAGCAGTAAAGCGCCACTAACTGAACTGCTTCCGTCTGCAGATGACAAGACTGGCCCCACAACGCTGGCTGCCTTGGACACTCAAAACCAGGATTCCTTCCACGGCTCATGTCTCCTCCTAACAGGGAATTCCGTTTTTTCAGACTGCTACGTGATTCTAGGACTTCTCCCCAAGGGAATTCAGTAAAGAGGACACTGAGACAGTGTTTTCAACCGTTAAAATCCTGTTGAAGGACACAAGGCGAACAGCTTCACGTGCCAGTAACCCACACAACGGAAGGCAGCCAGCGCCCGGTCCCTCGCGGGGGAACCCTGCCTCCATCCGTCTCTTGGATCCCAACAGACTAAGTGGTCAACAAAGGCCACTGCACCCAACTCCCACTGAAACAGACCGTCCGCATCTACTTCCAACAGCACAGACGAGATAATCTTCTGCATGACCCTTGTAGTAAGGGAGGACCGGGTCATATATTTATCACGGTTTCAAAATAGAAGGAAAGAGAAAACAGAGCTTGAGACCAGAGACAAAGGCATGGCAAACCAAAATTTAAATTAGCTCCGAGAGACGGAAACGTGAGTAACCCCCCTTGGACGAAGTCCAGTGGAGTGCGGGGCGTTCCGCACGCCTGGAAGTCAGCGTCAACGCCGGACTGCACCGGATTCCGAAATTCGCTATCACCTCACCTTTGCAAACAAGCCCGGCCAGAAAGGCTCGACGTTCACTCCGGCTGCTTTAATGAGGGCGTTGATCTTGTCCTCCTGAAACAAGTGAGACGGTGGCCCATCAGACGGCGACGTCCAGCTGTCGTGTCGTGTTCGTCCCCCAAGTACGGAAAGCAGGTCACTCGAAACGTGTGCAC